ACGCACCAATTGGACAGTACATCGCGAAATGATAATTTTAATTTATTTTTGCAAATGGTTCCACTGCTAGTAAAAATTATTTTGTAAAATTAAGTAAATTTATTGACCGGTAAATCAGTGAGACAATCTATTTCAAGATGATGTCTGTTTCATGTAATCTCGAATTTCTAGCATTACGAAAAAGACACGGATGGAAATATGCCGAAACCGATTTTCAATTCCTGAGTTTCTATAAAACAGTTTTTCTGAATGTTTTTTTTTTTTCGAGAACAATGTGCCAGAACAAGATCTCGCATGATTATGCTAACTTAACAGCTATTTTTTTACTTATCAAAAGATTTTTGAGCGAAGTTTGATTGTTTTTGTTGGGTAAAAAATGGCGGAAAATTTGAATATTAAAGTCGTTGTCAGTTGTGCGCGGCCGGTATTGCTTCCTACTGACTAGACTACTAAAACCTAATACATATTTGCTTTCAAAAAGTGCTGTATTCGTATCAAAATGTACAAATATTATTCCTTCCCTCACTTAATGATAACTGTGCACGTAAAGCAAAACCGTTTTATTTTCATTCCAAGTAAAATGGCAACTTTGTACTTTATGCAAGATGGCATCGTTAACTATTGGTGCAATTTATATTTTATGTTGAAAATGATAACGCATACAAAACGTATAATTCAAAATATGAACAGTCATTGCCATTTGTTAAAATACAAATATATACAACAATTTTATTTAAACATCTTTACAGAATGCAGCACTTTTTTTTTACTTTTTTAAACAGCAGCTACTATTTATTACTATTTATTGTTTTTATTACTTTTTAACTTTCTATAACGATCATAATGAAGAGTGGAATGATGAAACACTTAGTTTTGTACAACATTATTAGAATAGTTATCAATAAAAACGTGTAACAAAAAACTTTAACGTGGTTCTCTCTTTCTCTCTCTCTCTCTCTCTCGCTCTCTCATTTTACTAACTCCACTCTTCAATAAATTGCATAGAAAAGCATAAGTGGCATAGTTCTTGCATTCAGTTCTACACAATGTTTATCTCGAGTGTTTCTGTGAAGTGAAGATTATCATCGTGTCTCTATCTTATATTATGACATATTTATAATTGATTTTTTATTTGGGCACTGATTCTTCTCACTTCGTTTTCTAAATTTTACTCTGGACTAGATACTCCTAGCTGACTCAGTTATCTCGAATTCTCAAATGGAAGTTACAAAATTTATAAATCAATCATTAAATCCATTCAGATTTTTGTATATCATCCTATAATTCTATTGCATTTTAATACAAAAGTAATAGACGCGTACGTCTCATCATTATATGATAATTTGCTGAAACGTATTCAGGAAGCACATCAAAAGCACTCTTCATTAATTGTCATTAAAATATGCACGCGTATATACGTTATACTTCCAATTAAATATAGCCATTGAAAAGCAAGACATATGCCACTTGCTCATGAATATAAACTCGGTTGGTGTTTTCTCTTGTTAATTATCAGTCTATGATATAATTGGATATATTTGACTGATAAAATCAGCCAGTTAATAAGGCAGGCGCACGTGTTACTACATGACAAAGATTTTTAACAATGCATACATTTTCGTTATATATATATGATATATGTATGTATAATTTTTTAATGAATGAAGTATATGAATGTATAAAGATATGTGATAACGTATGATGCTCAAAGTATACTAATCGGAAAACCGAGTTTAATTAAAATCTCTGACATTTAGTAACATGTACCTTCCATTTAATCAAAGATTTTGTGTATGAAAGCTAGAATATATCACGGAGGAAACAGTTCTACAATGAAATTTATACAACATTCTTCTTCAATACTTAAAATATATATAATAAAATACATAATTATATAAATAAAAATACTGATATGGAAAGACTAGGAAGGCAATACTGCTTACTGTATTTCACGTATCTAATCTAGTCTTTCAGACTCAAAATCTCCAATACTAAAAATACAACAGGTTTAGGTGTTCATTCCATTGTATCTCCAACGTTTTCGAAGATGGTTGAATGAGGGTTGCTTCCAGTGGGCCACAAGAAGCCACCTACACTGCCAGGTGGTAAATATGATGCTCCTCCACTGAGGCCCACCTGATATATTTTCTTCTTTAAATTATTTACATTTTGTATGTCATTTCTGCGTTTAATATCTTCATTACAAAATGTTAAGAAATAAAATCTAGGAAGCCAAATAAGGGGAAAGGTGCTACGAATGATATATGCATTTCCCAAGCTTAATGTTCAAGTGTTTAACATCGCATTGTTCAAGGGTTTTTCGATCGCAGTTGTGCTAATATATGTTCTTTATGTTGCGTGGTTGTTGAATCATGTAATCAGTGCATATGTCGTGTTATTGTTTGTGTAACAGGCAAGTAAGTTGTAAACTATTCAAATTTCTATTGCGCACAGTTATCAAAATAACCATTTCATTTTCTACATCTTTTATTTTTTTAGGTATACGTATTAATATAATGCATACAGTAACAATAGTCCAATCATTTCTTATTTTTGAAAAAGATATATACTATTTTGTTAACTGTACAGTGACGTTCAATTAAGGGTTGGTACATGCACGAAGTAAGGCAAATTAGAGTGAACAATAAATTGCCAAATTAAAGAAAAATAATTATTTATTTGCATCTAACACAAATAATTGTGCTTTCGTATCACAAATAACGTCTAATCACTAACATCATAAACAATACTAATATTTACATCAATTCATCGTTGTGAACATGATACACGCTCACAACAATGTTAACATTATGAAAGGAACAAGTAACATAATACTCTATGTTTGAGTCCGAATATAGGTACGCAATTTTGGCACGATTTAAATTTACTCCAAAAGAACAATGACGTCATGGATCGTTGGACAGATACCAACAAGTTATTTTGCGTTCTTTCATTTCGACCCGATAACTTTTTTTATTAGACAGTTCAACGCGAACGATTTTTTAAATTTCTATTTATAGAATTACCTGTTGGCTCCACAGCAGTGTCCTTTCTGCTAACTGACAATCTGCTGCAAGTCGAGATGGTAGACTTTTCCATCTTTCTTCATCTCGTTTTCTTTCTCTATCAAAGTCTCTATCAACACGTCCCTGAGATAAAGGTGGTAAGATCTGTGTTCTTTGAGCTAATTTATAACTGTCCTGTCTCGGTACATGATCAGCACGTCTACCCGTGGTACTCGTTGATACCGGTATCGGAGTTGGACTTCCTCCACCTCTATGTCTGTGGTATAAGTTTCGTTTCTGTTGCAACATACGCTGCTGCACTAACAGCTGTAGCTGTGTACTGGAGTCGCCACGTATTTTGAACTGTGTTTGATTTTCTGGTGGTGTAGATGGTGGTCTCAAATGAACAAGATCTAAATGGCCTCTAGCTTTGCCAGAATCTGTGAAAGCAAAACGAATTTGTCACGGCTTCGATCACGATGAAAAGTTTGTACGTGCATTGAAAGATCTTTATAACTCGGTACCTTGAATACTTCGCTGCTTGGTCGGTCTGTCTCCTCCGCCTTGTTGACAGAATAATAATCTAGGTCCGCCATCTGAAGCTCTACGACCTTGTGAAACTCTCGATATTCTACCGGTAATTGGCGATGGGCTCATAGGTGGCGGAGGCGTGCAAGAAGGCAGGCTACTTGTAAATGAATTTGCCCCTGAGTAGTCTGGTGGACAACCAGAATCAAAACTAGATTCAAAAAGCTCGGACGATGAACTACCACCCGCAATAAACAGTGTCGTTCGACTAGGAGGATCAATAGAATCCATAAGTGGGGTATCAAAATGCTGTTGGTAATCACTTAATCTTCGATTGACTATTTGACTGTCAATTCGTTGACTGATATCATGATCTAGGCCTAGTCTATGTTCCTCGAGTTTAATTTGAGCTTCTCTCAATTCATCACCGCTTGGACCTTCCTCCAAATCACCTTCCGCGCTACAGCATCCTTCGTCAGTTGAAGAACTAGTTGAACTAAATCTTTTCCCTCCTCGAGTCGCGTCTTCTCTTGTTCTAAAAATAATGCAAATTTCCCTATAAGATATTGTAATTACTCGACAAACGGATAGATATCGATTATGAAGATCTTTTTTATTGGACTTCTGTTTCGTTTATGCGCTGCATTATTTTTATATATTTTTAAAATATATATAAAAACTACATGTAAAATCATGAATTATGACATAACGAAAATTATATAATTATAAGGCGAACGTCGACGTAAAAACAAGATAGATGTTCACTGTAAATTCAGTGATAAGAAATTATAACTCAAGATAAAAGGAAAACAATTGAAATAAAATGAAAGAATTACCAAAAATAAAGTGACAGCAATGCACTTCCAATCCAACCTGTCCTGACAAAATCTTCAATACATGCATCACCGTGAATAAAGATCAACGTCCCACTAAGCTATCACTGTAAATAAAAATTGTACAATTAAAATTTAATTCTTTACGAACTCTTTCGACGGGCAGGATTGGAAGATAAGAGAACTGTTATTTTAATGAAAATATCTTGTAAATGAAAATTATTGTAAAAACATTAACGTTTAAAATAACCTTAACTAAGTAAAGTAAGTGTACCTCGATTTGAATTTGTCATCTTTTGTTCTTGCAACACTTGGCCAACAAGTATTGTTTGCTGTGCTGCTGCTGCTAACACGATGTTGCTTTAACCTTTCCAACAATAAGAAATAAATAGCAGCATGATGATCGTAACTACTATTCCTTAGTGACTGAAAGAAGCAAAAGCTTTATTTAGAAAATACAAATTATTTTAAAACTATATTTTTTCTAATATCATTATAGTATTTTATAAATAAAAATATATATATATATACACACATACCTCTCTGGTTCTAGTGATGTCTATGCCTAAGCTATGCATAAGTCGAAGTATTTGTTCATTTGGTTCTTGAATGGACGAAGACGATGATCTGGTTATAATCATTGAACAAATAGTGTCTGCTGATCCAGCCATCCATCGATGTCTCTTTATTTGTGGAATGGTATATCGCTTTGTAGGTTCCAGAACTAGCATTTTACGTATTAAGCTTTCACAATCTGCAATAAAACAATTAAAATTCTATCAGATAAGATTAAACTGAACATCTAGAACTTTCAAAATAAGGCTGTAAACTGTAAAAATACCTGTACTCATAAAATACGGGATTCTAAATCTCCCACTCAAAACACGATCTCTTAAAGATTGAAGGGTAGATCCATCAAAGGGCAGTGCTCCACATACTAACACATATAATACAACACCTAAACTCTGCAATAATAAAACCACAATGTGTCGTAAACTATTTTCACTATGCATTACATGTAACGCAAATACATTGTAAGCTGCTTACCCACACATCAATTTCAGGACCAGCATAGTGTTTCCCTTTAAAAACCTCTGGTGCCGCGTAAGGAGGGCTTCCACACCATGTGCTTAATCTCTCCCCAGGTGAAAATCTATTACTAAAGCCAAAATCAGCAATTTTCACGTTCATCTGCGCGTCTAAGAGTAAATTTTCAGCTTTGAGATCACGATGCGTTACACCCGTCGCATGGCAGTATTCAACCGCAGAAAGTATTTGAGCAAACGTTGCCCTAGCTCTTGGTTCTCCCATTCTGCCATATCTTGCAATATAATCAAAGATCTCACCCTTGCTTGCATATTCGCACACCTAATGAGAATACACAAAACTCTGTTTGCTCTGTTTCTAAATTCTTGATTCAAAGAATTGCTCAAACGTACCATGTATATCATATTCTTTGTTTCCATTACTTGATACAACTTGACGATGTGTGGATGTTCCAATTGCTTCATTATTTCTACCTCTCTGTAAACTTTTTCAAGATTAGTGGGATCCAATTGTGTTTTATCAATTATTTTAATAGCCACCTAAAGAAAAAAAGAGAAAAAAGAAAAAAGGAAAAGGAAGAATTAGATTAAACTTTCAAACGAAGAAAATATCAACGTGTATATGTTGAAACAAATCATATTTACCTCTGTCTTAGTAATGCGATGTCTAGCTAATTTTACCACTGCAAAGTTCCCTTTACCGATGGTGCCTTCGATATCATAAAATCCCACGCGAATCTGTTTCTTCCCTTGTCCAACTCCGGAATCCATTTTTATCAGAAAATGTATTTACCAACGAACGAAACCGAACGATCTTATCCTTCAAATTTTATCACGTGCAAGTGATTTGAAACCACTGGAATCAAAAGAGAAGATACGCGTATTTTAGTACATGTTTGAATCGACTTTTTCAAGAGGAATTTTTAATTTCACTGCGGTCCTCGTTTGTCGCGGCATAAAGTCTTTTCATTCTCTCGAATAGTCTGTTTAACAACGGTTAAGCATCTTCGTTGACTTTTTCTAACGCTAGATAGTGCGTAGAGTGCCCGGTCGTGCGCGTACACGACAGAGCGAAGTCGAAAGTTCTACGGGACAAGAAACCCGACTGGAATCCACGGCGATCGAAGAGAACATTGTCAACGGTTCAGCAGTTCAGCAGTTCCACTCGTATGCGCAAAACGACGCCGTTTGTTCCAAAACCTTCGGGGTTTCGAAACCGCGACGACGAAAGCCGAGGAACGCGTTACGGAAGGGAGCTCTTCCTCTCGCGAATGTGTAAAAGCTTCCTGCAACAAGTACAATAGGTATCCCGAGCTGACGTCACGGATCGACCTCTTGCCTATCGACGAGTCCAGGATCGATACCCGTCGATAGTCCTCGATAAGACGACAAGTGGGAAGAAGGAAAGAAAAATGTGTGCGCGTAAATACGGACAAAGGGAAAGAGAAAGACATACACGTTGAAAGATCTGCGAGTCGAACTCGGACTTTGTCCATGCGAGCGCGGCACAATACAATATACAAGTGTACGCTTGCTGGTGACAACTGCGCCCGCTACTTACGATTCGATCCTCTGTCCCGAATTACCGGGCACGGCACGCTCCAGACCGGTGGAACCGTCGTACAAGCGAGAGAATCGCGTTGGCGCTGCCGACCTCGACGGGTGCGTAAGGCCGGAGAGCTGGTGCCATCGGTAAGCAAAAAAAAGCTCGTCCTTCGCGTTCACGAGATTCCGAATCTCGTTTCGAAGTGGCGGCCGGTCCTACGACAAGAGTCGTAAGAGCTTCGCGTGATGCGGCGGTTCGATACCGACTGACCGACGGCCATGTTGCTACCCCCCTGCTATGCTAGAGTCGCCGGCCTCGTCGCTCTCTCTCCCTCTTGTTCTTTCTCTCTCTCTCTCTTTACACTCGCCTCCCCCTCGTATCCTCTTCCCGACATTCCACCATTCTTAGCGTACACTACCACCGTGCACCCACCTCCCACTATCGCTCTCGCGTGCGTCGATCCCCATCCTCTCCCTCCTCGCCAACACGTCACCAACACCAGCGCACGCGCACACACACACACACGTGTTATCTTCGACAATTGACGTCAACGTACGTGCTACTATCGGCTCGTCGTTAATTGTTCTTGGGTGTAATTGCAAGGCAAATAGCTCGTATGCCACCACGTGGTCGGTTAGTTGCTGACATATTTCTCTCTTTTTCTGTCTGTTTCATTCTTTCCTCGAATGATTGCTTCTCTTTTTTTCTTCTTCTCTGTCGCGCTGATAAACCGAACAATTACGTGCACGCCGCCGACGCAATTCACTCGTCCGTTTTAGCCGTTTTAATTTCGAGATTTCGTCGGAGAAAGTGGAATTCGGTTACACCGTTGGTGTACATCGTTAATTCACGCGCGGGGTTCCCGACACGATTTTCCGGGGATGTAGCACAATAGCTCATCGATGTATCAGAAACTTTTTACAAGTATATCACGTCTGTCGTGTGGAATACATTTAAATAGCGACGAGGATCTTGAATTTTCTTCAAATCTTCAGAATATTCAATTTAACACTAGAACTACCAAAATGACCAAAATGACTAGTTTAGTTATAATATATTTATATATATTTGTTGTATTTTATAATAAACATACATACACGTACAATAATGACATGTACTTAGTGCATAGTTAGTAACCTAACCTAGCTGAAACCAAATTGCAGTGATATTCATTCATTATAATAATATATTTGTATATATTTGTTGTATCTTATAATACATATATACACGTACGATAATGACATGTACTTAGTGCATAGTAACCTAACCTAGCTGAAACCAAATTGCAGTGATATTCACTCATTAAATTGTATACTAATTATTTCTTTCTTGGGAAGTTTAACATTAGGAACTATCAAAATGGCCAAACTGACCAGCAATTTTTGTTAGATACACTTTATAGATACAAAACAGTATATTTTTAGAGACTTAAATGATTCTTTATAAAATACACAAATAAAACATTGTGTTATAAAGATTTTCCGTTTCTTTTACTTTAATCTGTCTCTGCATGGAAATTTTAGACTTTACTCGTTGGTAGTTTAGTGTTAAATTCTCTCTCGTGAGCCATCGAAAGAATTATACATGTATATATTGTTTTACGTTTATGCTACGATCGATCATGTTTGATGTTAATGATTATATAAATCATTCTGCTATTTTTAGTTTTACAATCATCAGCGATTATTTGTCAATCGTCATCGACGGATCGCAATAATTATCACCGCAACGAGTGATTACTGGTAACTTTTTTTTTTTTTTTTTCAAAGGAATTGACGTCAAAGCTGAGTTTTCTATCGTAAGCGGTTTTTTCTTCTCTCTCCTTTTTTCTTCTTCAGTCCACGTAGTTCTTCAGAACTACGTATTTCACAAACTATGTTTCAGATTAGGCAGTTAGTGTCGGAGGGAGAGGGAATTGTTTCGAAGCCGAAGAAAGTAACTACATAATTGTGCGGCGTGTTGATACGCGTGTGTGTTATCTGCGTTGCGATAGGTCAAGGAAAACCTTTCGAAACTTTCTTCGCGTTCGTTATCAAAATTCGCCAAGTATCGAAGAATAACAAGAATTAATACGTATTACGTTAAATTAAGACTAATACATACATATCTCTTTCTCGCGAAATGTTCAACACTTTGATTATTTCACTTATCATGTTTACCATGATTCTATCTACAAGTGTGCATATCGAAACTTTTAAAGATGGCCGTCTGTTTCAGATTAAGATTGCTGTATACACGAATTGAAGATATATTAAGCTTAAGATGTTACACGTTTTCTTGAACTTAAATATTTTTATCATAAAAAGTGTATCATGTACATATTCATCAGTAACGTACTGATCAGTGCGTCAATCTTTTATCGAGAACTTATTCTGAGGAAGTGTATAAGCACGATCTCTATACCTAATAATTAAAAGCATAAAAAGCGAATAATTTTTTGTACGTTCGTCTGAATGACACAGACAAGTATTCAAGTAAATTTATGCAAATGCGTGTAATGTATTCGAATCGCAATATGCACTAATTTTAACATCGAGTGGCTACGTCACAAGCTGATATTATGTGAGACACATTAATCTGAAATCCACAGATTAGATTTTTACCAACACAATTTTGTTTATCTTGGAGGATTAACGCCTATCACGTTTCACCTTCACTGTTGAGTAAACACACATATATTCACTTCTTTTCACGCAGAGATCAGACGAATACATTGGTAACTTCACGCTGTTTGCTTACCTTGCTTGTACCTCGTTCTTTCAAATTCTTTTAAATCCATTCATTTCATCGATATATACTGTCAACATCTTTGACCATTCCATCTTTTCCACGCTCTGTACCCTTGGTATATTATAATCGGTAGTTGCACTTGCTTCGAAAATGAAATATTCACGAACGAAACGTAACGATTTCTAACCTATATATGTATATATGTCGCACGTGTCAGACGAAAGTTGCACGAGAGATTTCCCGCATAGGGATGTGGACGATGCTACGCGAGTTTATCTAGCGCTAACGTTTATTAAAGTTACACGCGTCGCGTGACGTTCGCCCGAAGATCTCCACGTGTATTTACAGAACGTGTTTCTAATAATTTAAGCGCGTCGGTTCTGCATAATTCCCGGTCAGGTTACGCCTACAATCCCGACAGACAGAGATAGATAATAGGACGCAAAATGACGAGCAACTTGGTTCACGCTGTCACTGCGTAATCTGCTGCTTTTATTTAGCAGAGACTTTGTCCTTTTCTATGTATAATCTATGTAAAAAAATTTGAAAAAGTTGCATTTATACTTTTTCGTTTTTCGAAAAGTACCAAGGCTCGATGATTCTCTTTCCATTCTCTTTCTCACTACGCGCTCGCAATTAACGAATCATCGTGAAGCAATTCACGAACTCCGAAGAAACACGAAAAGGATCGTCCGTGCGATTTATTTGGATTAGACGAGACGTATGTAATCGCAGTTCAGGCCGAACCTGGCGTTCTCGAGCGTCATCGCGCGTCTTTCATCGACGTATTTTCGGCATCGTGCCACGGGCCGGTTGGTGTAATATGCTCCCCAAGTGCGTCATAATTAAAACAGCCGACCACCATGCCATGCTGTGCTTGTCGAGAGTTTATGATCGCGGAAGTGAAATTGTTCCCGATTCTCGCGCGAATCACGTCCTTTCTCAAGGAAAACTGTTGCTCTCTTCTCTCTTATCTTCGTTTTTTATATTCTTATCTTGTTTCACGTTTTAGGTTAGGTTTAGGTTAGCTTACTCGGTCTTTATCGTTTTTTCCCGACTTTTTGTTTTTTTCCTTTTTTCAGACCGTGCCATTCCTCCTTTATTTTTCGATCGTCTCCCCTCTTGTTATCCATTCTGTTTCACTTTTTTTTTTTAATATATATTTTCTTCTTTGTTCTTTTTCGTATCGCTTCTTTCTTTCTTTCTTTCTTCTTTTCATTTCGATAACAAAGTTGCCGTGCATCAGTGATCTTGGATTTAACGAAGTTCCAATCCGTTCGGGTGTAATTATTAACGTAATTTGTATCTTCGTGTCACATCGAAAGCCGCGACTCATTGTTGGTTTCCATTGGCATCTATTACAATTGCAACTTTGATTTAGTAGCGTGCACGTCAAGTGTATAAAGAGGCGCCACACGTCGACACCTTTCTGTATCTTTCCTCTTCGAATGAAAGAACGTGGTATCGCTACCACATAAGCTGTTAGCATTATTAGAAATCTAATAGGATCAGGATAATAAGATTACGAAGATTGATCTTAAACTGATGACCGCGCAACGCGGCGTCACGTCAAGAAGAAACTTACGGTTGGAAATACGTTGTCGTATGACACACTGTGTTGACAATCTTCATCCATTTAATCTATATAAAATTTCAATCAATTAGCTGCCAATAATTTCATTTCAACCGGCGGAGAAAAACATTCGTCCATTCGTAGTGTTCCAATTACGATTTCCAAATGCAAATTTTCCTGTTGAGATAATTAATTGTAGTAACAATTATCACATTACTAATTCAATTAAAATAATATACTCACACGAATATATAATAATCCATTAATTTAATTCAATTATACAATAGTTTCAATTATATGATGGTTAATAATAAAAAAATGTAATTATATAATGTTAATAAAAAAAATAAATTATATAATGTGAAAATGTTATTGTATAATGGTAATAAAGAATGTAATTACAGAATGAGAATTATTATATTAAATTAATTAAAGTATATAATATAGTAATATAATATAATGTAATGTAATGTAATATAGCAAACAATATAATATAATAATATAATAATATAGTATATAATGTAGTAATATAATAATATAGTACATAATATAGTAATATAGTAACATAGTAATATAGTAATATAGTATATAATATAATAATATAGTAATATAATAATATAGCATATAATATACTATTATTATATAATGGTATATAATAATAGTATATAACAGTATATAATATATAGTATATAAGTATATATATAATATATAGTATATAAGTATATATAATATATAGTATATA